TGTGTAGGCATGGTGCTGAACTGGGCTGAAGCACTGAATTGCAGTTAACACCCATCTCTACTAAACACTTAAGCTCTAGTCGAATTTAAACATTCTAAATATAATGGGAAAAGTGTAGAATGCTACAGTAAATGAGTCATGCATGAGAAGAAGACTGCTTTAAATAAATTAAAGTACACGTGGCAAGGAAAATAAGTGTGAATCTAATATATTTAGAATCCAATGCCAAATAGTTTTTTACTGCAAACTCCCAATGTTTATCAGTTTTGTTTGGCCTACTTCTTGTTCTGTTTTTCCGAAGTGGTCCATCTGTGTAAATGTGTTTTTTCATCCAAATGCAAAATTACCGTATTACTATATACCAATCTTTGTTTTCAAGAACTTAGAACAATTTCTGTCAGAAATGCTTTATTCTACCTCCACCCTCATGTCAGATTGGATCCAAGCCTACCTAACTTCCGAATTAAAAGATTTGGAACAGATGCTTTCACAACATTCAAGTATATGAGTATGTGACTATGACAAAACATAGTTTAACTGCTAACTTTTAGTTAACTCTTGCAATTGATTTAATGAAACTGATATTTACTCTATTGCTGGCGCTGAAGAACATTTAAGTATAAGTCTCCACCAGAGAAGCCAGCTTTACAATGCATGCTTAGGCACAAATTAAGGGTTTGCAGGGTTGGGAACCAATAGCTTTTTTTGCTGGCATTCTGTAATATTAGCAATGTGAATCCTTGTTTCTCTTGGTTTTGCGTGGAAGAACAAGGAAGTACAAAATTATTCACTTTCCCCCAAAAAAGAAAGTGTAGCCCTCTTAAAACAGAACAAATATGAGGTTTTTGTGCAAATTAAACAAAATTGTACAATTGTACAGTTGCTCAAAATGATTATGGCTGCTACTTTGTTGCATGGACTTTTAAGGATTGGAAACATTAATGGAGTGTTTGCATCTTTTTAAACAACCAGTCATTCTGTGTTTGCTGCATGTGGAAATGGCATAGGTTTTGCACAGAGTTTATTCATACACATTATGGAGACCTTGATGAGAACAAACAACATTCCTAGTCTCACTGTTCCCAAAAAAGTAAGGGATTTCATGGAGCTTAAATTCCTCATTAATTTAGCACATTGAATAAAGGCAGCCAAAATTAGTGAGAACAGGATTTAGTGAGCATTTTTATATAACTATTAGTAATTAAGAAGGCTTGTCATTTTTGAAGCTCAGTTTTAAAAGAATAATTAATAATTCACTATATGTTTTGGAGCTGCCTAAAGGAAGGTGAGATACAAATTATGGGGCCACTGTACCTTGTTCTACATCTTGGACAACACTTTATGATCTGGCATAACGTAATTACAAGAATGATAAATGAGAGTATTCACAGTCAGATTTTACCTCAGCCTTCAACTCAGTAGTCTGGCCTTGAGCAAACCACTGTTCATTCAAGTATCTGTCTGAAGAATAGTAATACCAGCTCACTTTGCAGGAGTGTTGTTAAGGGTTATTGAAATAATATATAAAAATTCAAAGCTTTATGTTAATAATAAGTGTGATTGCGATTAAGAGTTAAGAGAAAAATAATGAATGGATTTTTATTTATTGCGATTTAATTTCTTGCACTTCCAAACTGCCCGTCTAGTCAAATGGTCATTCTGGGTGGTGTACAACAATAAAACAATAAACAAAAATCAAACACACAAGACATAGCATTCTAATCCATCAAATCTTCAGAAAGCATTAGTATTCATTGGCTTGTACAACAGGAGTGATAACAATGGCAGCAGCAGACTGATGCAATTAAAGAGTTCACTTTTTGAGCTGGGGTGCCCCTGTCTCATATACAATGATACAAAGTCCAATGAAATTAAAAAAATGAACTATTTAGATAGCAGCAATTTGCCACTGCAGGTTATGACACTCTCTTTGCTATGCAACAGGTTTCTGGCCATAGGAACATGAAATCCAGTTATTAGTGCCAAACAGAACTGACATATTGAATCAGTGAGAATGTGGTAGGTCAGCACATCAGTTCTGTAATTCACTGGGTCTGTTCTGGTTGGGACAAACAGTTGGATTATGTATTGCGGAAAGCTTCCTTTACATTAAGTCAGAACAGCAGTCTGTACAGTATTCTAAAAACTAGAGTAGTGGCAACTCTTATGCCTGTGTTGTGTAATACGTACTTGCAATATATAAGATGATATGGATGACTGACAGTTATTATAAGGACTTCCCATTTTTTAAGTTCAGTGCACTGAGTACACTGAGAAGAGAAATAATGTGCAAAATACTGAATTGATGTATTGTTCCACATAGATGGACAAAGAAAAAGTTGTCTCTGTCTTTGTTCTACTTTGAGATGATGTTATTGTAAAGAGTTGCCTATGTTTATATGTTTCTGTAAATCCAGAAAAAGTTAAGTCGAGCTAAGAAAATAAATTTGATAAAATAGTTCCTTTTTAAAATCAAATTCTGGCAATTTAATCCAGTATACGTTATTGTCTTCATAAGAATATTCACCTGAAATCAGTGGACAGGACTCCAAAAAAACACAATATTTGATCTCAAGGTTGCCACTTCATTTTCAGACATGAAGACTAAAAAACCCAAAACAAAACCAAAAAACTCTTCAATTTTTCTTTATTTCTTAAAATGTGCTTCCATTTTAATATGCATTTATTTTGCCTCTAGATTCCATAAATGTGCAACAAAATCATTGGTGCAATCTTTCCTTTCAGTTGGCTGCATAGAAACCCATCATCCTTAGAGATGTTTGCAACTTGCTCAACTCCTTGTCCTTCAGTTGTGTTGAACTTGATCATTGCGCATTGCTCGGGTGGCTGTTGTGAGCTGAGAAGTGATAAATAATAATAACGCTGATGACATTTTGGCACCAGGTCAAAATCTTCCTGTTTCAAATGGCTTTTAACTGAAATAACATCAAATGTGGGTCTGATGGCAATTTTTAGAATATATATTTTAATTGCATTTTAATTATTTTGCCCTTTTATTTTGCCTTTTTATTGTATTTTAAATGCTGTAAGCCGCCCAGATACCTTCAGGTAGTGTGGGCGGCATATAAGATAGATAGATAGATAGATAGATAGATAGATAGATAGATAGATAGATAGATAGATAGATAGATAGATAGATAGATAGATAGATAGATAGATAGATAGATAGATAGATAGATAGATAGATGATTCCAATGAATAATAATAACTCATGATACTGAGGGTAATGGGAATAGCTCAATATCTGAAAGGTGCCAGGATGTGGAGGGCTGCCCTAGATATACCCTTTGATCCCTTCTCTCTCCCCCCCCCCAATTATGTACCTTTCAGTATGTACCTATGGTCTGAAAAGCCTCGTGGCACAGTGGTTCAACCACAGTACTGCGGTTAAAACTTTGCTCACTACATGAGTTTGATCCTGGGTTCAGGTAGCTGGCTTGAGGTTGACTCAGCCTTCCATCCTTCTGAGGTCTGTAAATTGAGTACCAAGTTAGCCATGGGGAGGCAATGAGTAAATTGTAATAATTAAAATTTAAAGCACCCTGATAGTGCTTTAACCCAGTGTTTCCCAGCCTGGGGGTTGTGACCCCCACAGAAGTTCCAAAGTGTTTTCTGGGAGGTTGCTGGTCACTCTATGTAGCCCTTGTTAGATAATTTCATCCTTGACCTTTCAAAGTCACGTTACAGTCTCTTTTGCCTATTCTGGAGGTTATATTAATTAAAGGCATTTTTACATTAGTAAAGTTGCAGCACAGCAGTTAGGATTCCTTCCTTTTGCCCCTCGTGGACCCCAAATACGCACATATTACTCTTTGGACTAGAACTGATCCAGTGCTGTACTGTGGCACAAGTTATTACATATTAGGCCCCACATATACTTTGGACCCTCTTCTGTTTTAGACTTCATTTAGAGAACCATCTTCTTTTTTCCATCATCATCATCATCATCATCATCATCATAAATCCAATGGCATAAGAACTTAATGAAAACTCTTCGCTGAGTAGAATTTTGACCAGTTTTAGGATTTTAAAATAGTATTGTCTGAAATGCTTATGATTATATATCTTAAAACATTTAGATTTGTACACATGGGTAGGAAAAGCAGTGATGAGAAATTAGTATTTCAGTATGTAGGTGGTTTGAATCTTGCTTCTACCATGGACTCACCTGACAAACTTCTCTTGCATTCACCTTTTTAACCAAGGGATAATGATAACATTATTGCTGATCTATCTTCAGTTGTAAAATATTATACCATGTTTTGACTGCTCTATGCTCTATAAATATTTACTTTTGCATATCTTAATCCAATTTACAGGGAGCTCAGATCATGTATTGGACAGAGCGCTGGACTCAAAAGATCTGGGTTCCAATCCCCACTTTGCCATGGGAACTCCCTTTGAAGGGTGGTGGCTCTCACCTGCCTTGTTAGAATTGTCATAATTCAGAACCAGCTTGACAGCACCTAACAACAACTTTGTTTACAAGGAAGAAATTTCACTGAAATGAAGGTGACCTACTTCTAAGCAGAGCAAGTGCTTTTTTTTTTTTTTGGCTTGTAACCCGTACTTCAGGACAACATCATCTGTTCTTGCTGTCCTTTACTCTTAATGTGCTTTTCTGGCTTTTTAGCTGCAGTGGTAGTCTTAAGGTGCGCTTGGGGCAAAAGATACAGTCTGGATCTAGAGAAAATACCGGAACGAGATCCCCTTAATGACCAAGAGCGTGTGTTAGGTTTTTAAAGTGGTTTCCCTTTACGCAGTGGTTTATTTTTAAGTGGAAGAGGAGTTTTTCTTTACTGTACTCGGCTGGTAGGATCTAGATTCTACCTTTTCCTCCCCCCTTGGCGGCGGCGGCGGCGGCGGCGGCGAGGGATGGTGTTGGAGGGGCGTCTGCATTGCTCTGATTTGCTGAAATTGCAGAGGGCTCGTCTTGGGCAGAGGCTGCCTGGGTTGCTGCTGCTGCTGCTGCTGACGACGAGAAGGAGGACGGCGACGACGCGTGGCTCTCGCTGCTGCAGCTGCCGCACGGCCCTGTGACGCGCTGGAAGCTAGCTCCGCTCCCAAGTCGTCGTCCCCCCCCCCCCGGTAGTCTCTGTCAGGCTTTCGCTGCTGCGCCCTTTTTGACAAGGTACCGGTACATGCCTCTCGCTCGCTCTCTTTGCCCTTTCGGCCATCTCGGCTGCTGTTCGAGGCTGTCTCTCCTGCGGAGCGGCTCTCGCAGGGGAGGGAGAGCTTGCAGGAAGCGGGGCGGGGGGGGGGACGCTCGGAGGCCTTCGCTGCTTCTGCTCTCAGGTTTATCGAAATCTCCTGCGCTGTATGTTCCAGGAGCCATTTTTAAGTTCCCCCTTGGCGAGGAGGGGAGCTGTTGGGAGCAGAGTCGGCGGTCTGCAGGACGCCGCCGGGGTGATGATGGT